TCTGGGAAGCGAGCCGCCGGAAACCTGGGGGAAGGGAACTTGCCGTTGTTGGACCAGGCTTGGGACACTCTCCTGGCAGGTGCCCGCCGGGCCTCACAGAGAACTCTACCGGTCACCGCAGCCTCCAGGGCCCGGACACAGCTCTGGCCCTCGCGCTGCAGCCAATACCTGCCCTGCTCCTCACTCTGTTCTTCCAGCATTCCCCAGCCTGATGGCCCCATGCTGCCTTCCCCTTCCCCTCTGGGCTTCTCCCTCCTTCAGCATTTGCTCCTGTCACCCTAGAGCTCTCAGAGGCCAGGGGCCACTTCTTTGACTTCAATCTGGGCTCTATTTTTGCACTTCTTGTCAAAAAAGGTTTTTCAGGTCATAACGCTTGGCCTCATCACCACCTTTCTCTTTTGATAGTTATGTGGCGCAAGGCACTGAGGTGGGAACCGTACCAGGCAGGTTCAGAAGACCTGGGTCCTGGGCTCCCACTCGCTTGCTGAATGACCTTGGGCAAGTCAGCCCCCCACCCAGGTCCTCATTTCCACATCTGTGACATGAGGGGGTTAGTCTAGATCAGAAACCTCCAGACATTTCTGATCACGCATTCCCAGCAATAAAAAAATACGGAGCGTGCACCCATAATATGCATATATTCACTTATAAACTCTATACCCTTACTACAATACTAATATGTTATGAAATAAACATGCAAAATAAAACGTTAAAATTAAAGATTACGTAAAATATTTTTTACATAAATTCTCCTTTATTTTATATAACAAAATTTCTTCCTTTCACAATTTTATTGCTTGCTTATAATTAATAACAACAGTGTCAGGGAAAGCAATGTGATTGGATATGCTTCATTTCTCTTTGAAATCTTGCTTTAACCCTTTGAGAGAGAGCCGTTTAGAAATCTGGTCTAGCTGAGTTTGTTTTCAATGGCTGTTGTAGTTGATCCAAAGAGAAGAGATATATCATTTGCTATATTAAATTACGGTACTTATTTTCAATCCCATCCACCAATTAAAGGCTTTTGATTGAAATTAAGCTAGCAGATGTCCATCCTCCATTACATTAGTCAGCGGCTCCTACAAGATAATTGGAAAGCGTTGCGTTTTTATATTTTTAACAAATGGACTCAAACTCCACTCTTCATTTGGATCATTTTCAAACAGATTAGAAAAATCTGTTTCTAATATTTTTCAGGTGTGCAGACAGAAGCATCTTTATAGGTGAGATCACATGTTTTCAGCAACAAAAATCTCATTTTCAAAACATTCTCTCCAAAGCATGAGTCTCTTTGGAAAAGCAAATACTTTCTCACTCACTGTTAAAATAAGTCACATTTACCTTGAAGAGTCAGAAGAATTTGAATTCATATTTTGGTGGATATCGCTGAAGTAGCAAACTGTCAACAGCCACTTAACATAAAAAGCTCAGCAAATTTAGAACTCTTGTCTTTGTGTACAAGAATAAATCCTCTTCATGTTCGATGGCTATTTTAAGTGCTCTGCCAATAGATAAGCAGCAAACCTCCGTGTGGTTCAAAAGATTTTCATAGTCTCTTTCTGAATACAAATCATTTTATAAGTTTTACTATATTTTAAACTCCTTAAAAAAAAAAACCAATCACATCAATGCATCCTACAGCACTCGTGTACTTCTGGATCTAAGTTCTTCACTACAGTAGCCTGAAGGGAATGCTGCAGGGAGTAGCTACACATGTATCAACATCATTGCACTCTTACCCAGAATCCACTTTCATCAGGAAGCAGCCACTCCATCAGTGATTACACTCAGACAAATCTTCCCATAAATGGTGTCTTTATTAAGGAAGTAATGTACTGTTCAGTCCACATTGCCTCTTTCCTTTAGTGACTCACAGAAATGTGGTTCTTCCTGTGTTTCATTATTGAAACAGAATCTAGGGAAACCATGTTAGAAACAGCTGTACTTTTCTTCAACTATTTAGCAAATTTTCCACAGTGTGAATTTTGCTCTAATGCATATTTCTGTACACCTTCAGCAGGATTTTCTCTGCATCTTCCAACAGAATCTGTGGTCACCGTGTTCTGTTCATGTACTGTTCTTGCTACCAGCAGGTGCCACACCAACAGCTGGCTTCCCAATCTCTGTGAAACAAGGTGTGTGTGTGTGTGTGTGTGTGCGCGCAGGTGGATAACAGTTACGTGACATGGGTCTAAGGGGGAGTGAATTGATTTCCTGGTAATTATTCTCCCCTCCCCCATCACTCCCAGCAAAGCCAAGTAGTGGGGCTGCCCCGAGGGAAGGGAAGACTGGTACATCGTTCAGTGGTTGGATAGAGGCTTAGGCAGTGAGCTTGTTGACCCATCTTGCACCTGTCTGAGTGCAGGAAAAGAGAACTGGAGCTGGGACTTCTCATTATGTCTGATTGAATTCTCCTTGTTTCTACCTCATAGAGAAGAGCTCACATTTTAAGTAGGAGAGGTATCTGCCCATTTTCTTGTTCACTTGGCGTTTGTATTATGAGCATTATCTTCAACTGTGGTTTCCTTGCAGGAATCTTGTTAAGCCGCCTATCCATTTGTGAGGGTTAATTTAGTTAAAATTTGGCAAAGTTATCTGTAGAGGCACTTAGCTAGGTGGAACACATCACAGAAGACTGCCCTTAGCAGGATTCATCTGAAGCAGGCAGGCCAACTTTTCTAGGGGAGGTGGAGGTTAAAAGATGGAGGAGATAGGAGCTGGTCTGGAAGATCTAACGAGGCAGCCTGGATTCTCCTGGACCCTGGCCACTCCTCCAACATATATGTGTATATATAGATATATATGGGATTAATCCTGTCACCTGAGAATCTTATCTACAGTGAAGATTCCTGGGTGTACTGGTTTACTAACGTTGCCATAACAAAGTATCACAACTATGTAGATTGAACAACAGAAATTTACTGTCTCACAGTTCTGGAGGCTGGAAGCCTGAGATCATGGTGTCTGCAGGGTTGGTTCCTTCTGAGGGCTGTGAGGAAGAATCTTTTCCGTGCCTCTCTCCTGGGTTCTGGTAGTTTTCTGGCAATCGTTGGCATTCCTTGGCTTGTACACATGTCACCCCGATCTCTGCCTTCACCTTCACGTGGTGTTCTCCCTGACTGCATGTCTCTGTATCTAAATTTCCCCTTTTATAAGGACACCATTCATATTGGATGCGGGGCCCACCCTACTTCATATACACTCATCTTAACTAATCACGTCTACAACGACCCTATTTCCAAATGAGGTCACATTCTGAGGTACTGGGGATCAGAGCTCCAACATATAAATTTGGGGGGAGCCACAATTCAATCCATAACACTGGGCTACACCCCAGAACTTCTAGATCAGGATCTCTGAGGGTGGGAGTTACAATTCATGGTTTTAAGAAGGACCTCAGATAACTTGTATGCTCACTAAGGTTTGAGAACTGCACAGCCACGTGGGGTGATTCAGAATGTCCCCTCTCCCTTCTCAAATATATAGGAATACCAAATAAAATTAAACCATAGATTTTAACATTGTAGCTGAGTTCAAAAGAAATGAAAGAGAAATTCTCATGACCCCAAGATGGAGACATCAAAACCAGAGAACGAACTGTTGGCTGAAGCTAGGGCAGCCCTAAGGAGTGACAGACAAGGACAGGGGCTCAGAGAGGCTGGGGACGGGGTTTAGTGAGGGAGATGATAGGGCCGTGTGTGCAGTGGAACTAATCCTTTTGCATGAAGCCTGGAGCCTTGAAGAAATACCTTGTCAGTGAAAAGGGACTAGAAAAATCAACTAAAGATTTGTTTCAACTAACTAAAAATTTGGAATACTGAGGGACTGCTGTGTGAATTCGCAGGATCAAATACCTTCCTTAGCTGAGATGCATCTAAGGAAAAGGAATCTTGGTTGGTGAGAAGGGAGGGATCAGAGGTCATTTTGGAACACCAGAACAGAGCTGGGATCTGGTAAGGCCTGCCAGCAGGCAGGGTGAGTTTAGAGCAGGCACGGGCTGGGCCCCTGAGCAATTGCGGGCCAAGGAATCTTAGCAGGTGGGGGTGGATTAGAGACACAGAAAGCAGGAAGACGAGGATGCCAAAGATGGACCTGCTACTTTTAAATATTTCCAAGCTTGTTCTGTGACTTTAACTCTCATTAGATCTGTCCATCCCTTCTAACCCACAGCCCACCCCACCTGCCCATTCCTGGAGCCTGGATGGAGAGTAGCAAGGTGACCTTAGTGAGCTGCCTCTGAACCGGTTGAGAAGTGGCTGGGGTGTTTGCTTAGAACCTTGTAGTACCAGCTCAGAAGGGACCGCTCATGAATGACCCTGGCCAGGCCCAATTTAGGGGAATCAGAATTTCTAAACTCACATGACCCTTACTCATTTGGGACTCGAATTTGACAACGAGCTGGTTTAAAAATGAAAATTGCTGTACAAATTATACTATCTGTAGACGTTATATAACAACTTACAGCTACCATCTGTTGAGTGTTATTTATTAGTCATTGTGCAATTTTAAACCTATCCTATTTAATCCTCACAGCAAACCTGTTAAGTAGGTACAGTATTATCCCACCCTATCTTGTAGATGAGAAATCTTAGGCCCTGGAGATTATGTAAAATAATCACTAGTAAATAGTGAAGCCAGGACTGAAACCTGGGTCTGTCTGACTTCTACATCAATATGTTGATAGTAGGTTACTCTGGAGAGTGAATTATAAACAATTTTTATCCCATTTTTAACAACCAAACAATGAGCCTGTGGAATGTACATGCAGGAGGTGACAGTGGGGAGAGTGATGTTAAGCGTGGTCCTTCAGCCCAGGTACCCTCCGTCGTGTCCGCGGTCCTGGCTTATTGACTCAACATCTACTCCAATATTTAGGTTGCTGTTATTGTTTTCTTCTCAAACCCAGGACACTGCGCTTCTGATAGATTAACAAGACCCAGGGAGGCATGAACCTGACGTGGATAAGCCTCCCTCCTCTTTTTCCTCCTCCCCACCCACAGGTCAACCCTTTCAGAGACCGAATCTGCAGAGTGTTCTCCCACAACGATGCGTTCTCCTTCGAGGATGTGCTGGGCATGGCATCTGTGTTTAGCGAGCAGGCCTGCCCCAGCTTGAAGATCGAGTACGCCTTCCGCATTTACGGTGGGTGCTGTGGGGATTGAGTGGTGGGACAATTGCCATGGAATAAATACCGCAACTGGAACCCATCGACGTCAATGCATTGGTGTGATGACGTTAGTTGGGGTTTACTTGAGTATTCATGGGCACTATGCTTCTCAAGTGCTGTAGACTTTTTTTAACGGTTGAGGAGTACTACTCTCACGGATTGATGACTTTCCCTCCATGCCATCAGAGGCAAATGGAGTCATCGGTGTTGATATTTCATGACCGTAGTGTGGGCAGGCCAGAGAGAGAGAGAGAGAAAGACAGGACTATATAAGGGTATGAAGGAGTTATGTTTATTTTGAAGAAGTTAAGAGATTTAAACACTGAAACTAGTTCAGCCATTAATAGCTAAGAAATCTTGGACACATCATTTTAATTTTTAGGGCCTCAGTTTCCTCATCTTAAAAATGAGGGGGTTGAGATCATCTCTGAGGTCCTATGACATTTTTTGTTTCTGATCTTGTCTGGGAGCCACAAGGCTCCGCTAAAGTTCTGCTCTGCAGCAGTTTCACGAACACTTAGCACATCCAGGATCCCTGAAATTTTCAAAAGGGACCAAAAGGAAAGAAACAAAGCCTTCAAACAGACCACATGCAAGGCTTCAGGCTCATCATGACAAATCCTTGGCCCAAAGTACTTGTACATTTAGGTTTGTATAGTTTGGCATCTCACCTGCCTTCTTTTTCTGTCAGCTCCCCCTCTGTCTCCACAGGGTGGACACCATCTTATTCCTGCCTCACCCAAGTGGAGTTGGATAGAATGGGGTGGAGGACTTTTAAACCAGATGCACCTATGAGAGCTCAGTGTTCCCATCTGTAAAAAGGGCTTAATGATATTTTTGTATCTGATATGTTCTCAAGCTTAGTATTCAGTAAACTCAAATGAAATCACAGGTTCCCCTGCTGAGAATAGCTGAGTAAGCTCCTATCATACTGTTACTTCTGTAGATAGCTACTATAAACTCTAAACAAAATATAAATATCAACTACCTGATGACATTAGAAAGCTACCAGAAGCAGAGTTGACGCTTGAAAAAAGGAAATGGTACTGAATGTTTCTCCCCCTTTTAGTTTTTTACTTTTTTAGCCTGAAGGTGAGCTTCAGTAAGTGGCATCATGGACTGATAGAAACCGTGATCTCTTTCTGACTTGAAGAATCAGAGAGTTTGGGGCACTTTTCCCCTCAAAAGTGAAAAGAGGGGAGAGTCCATGAAAGAAATCCAGAAGAAGGGAGGCAAATTTTGTGTAAAAACTATGAACAAATCTCATTCTGACCTCTAAACCATATATACCAGGGCAGACCCAAAGCAACTCAGGTAAGGATAAAAGAACTGAATGGAGATTTGAGCTGCCACTGCATTTTAACAAGGTCCCTGTGTGACAGGGTTTGCAGTTTAAGTCCAATCAGTTGCCCAGTAGAATCAAAAATTCAGCACTCTTTGGAAGAATATAACAGAATCCAGAGTTTCCACATAAAGCATTTATAATGACTAAGATACAATCCAAAATTATTCAATATATTAAATTTTTTTAAATGATTCATTCTCAAGAATGGGGACTGATTCCAACATCCCAGATGTTGGAATTAGCTGATACGTATCTTTGAACAGCTATTATAATCATGCCCAATGATGTAAGAGAAAATATGCTCCTGATGAATGGAAAGATAGGAATTCTCAGCAGAAAAAGAGAAACTATAAGAAAGAATCAAATGGAAAATACAGAACTCAAAAATAAAATATCTGAACTAAAAATCTGCTGGATGGGCTTAGCAGGAGAATCAAGATGACAGAGGAAAGAGTCAGTAAACCTGAAGATAGAGATCAACAGAAATATAATCCAATCTGAAGAACACAGAGAAAAAAATATGAAGAGAAAAAAGGAACAGAGCCTGAGGGACATGTGTGACAACAGGAAGTTCAAACATATATTTAACTGGAGTCTCAGAAGGAGAGGAGAGAATGAACAGGGCAGAAAAGATATTTGAAGAAATAATGGCCCCAAGTATCCCAAATCTGATGACACACATTTACAATGAACATCAGGCAGGGTAAGTACAAGTGAAATCACATACCCCAATTCAGTTGGCTTAGTAGTCCCCACCCCCATCCACTAGTCTTCCTCCTTGTTTACCCCACGTATTTCTGGGAGTCCCCAGGGAGTTTCCAAGGTATTCAAGGAGTTCTGGTTCACGAGCTGTGCTACCCTCTGTCAGGCCTTCCACCACAGAGCACATGCTGTGCTATCTCCAGCCTCTTCTGTCTTCTGTCAGTACTATCCTGGATGGAGCAGCTCTTCTGGGTGGAAAATGCTGGCCCAGGCTACGTGCTCTCTTCAGGTTGTAAGTAACAGGAATTTACCTGTGTAAAAGGCATCGGATGGGGGCTTCCTTGGTGATGCCTGGATAAGATGCTTGGATAAGAATCTGCCTGCCAATGCAGGGGACACGGGTTCAAGCCATGGTCCGGGAAGATCCCACATGCTGTGGAGCAACTAAGCCCGTGCGCCACAACTACTGAGCCTGCGAGCCACAACTACTGAAGCCCGTGTGCCTAGAGCCCATGCTCTGCAACAAGAGAAGCCACCGCAGTGCGAAGCCTGTGCACTGCAATGAAGAGTAGCCCCTGCTCGCCGCAACTAGAGAAAGCCTGCGTGCAGCAACGAAGACCCAACACAGCCAAAAATTAATTAATTAATTAATTAATTAATTATTTTTAAAGACAAAAGATGAAGAGCAGCAGTACATTAGTTTTCCATCGCTGTGTAATAAGTCACCACAAACTTAGTGGCTTTAGATAACACATGTTTATAATCTCACAGTTTCTGTGGGTTAAGAGTCTGGACACAACTTAGTCGGTTCCTCGCCTTAGTGTTTCACAAGGCTGCAGTGAAGGCTTTGGCTGGCCTGCATGCTCACCTAGAGAATGCTTGACGGGGGATGAATCTACTTACAAGCTCACTCCAGTTGTTGGCAGAATTCATCTCCTTGTGTCTACAGAGCTTAGAGCCCGGGCTTCTCTCTCGCTATTGACTGGAGGCTGCCCTCAGTTTCCAGAGGCTGACCTGTGCTTCTCGTCACATGGGCCTTCCAACATGGCCACTTGCTTCTTGAAAGACAGCTAGGGAGTCTCTGGAGCCAGTCTGCTGGCAATATAACATATTGTAATCAGGAAATGACATCTCTGTTGCCAAATTCCACTGCTTAGAAGTAAGTGCCCACCCACACAAGAGGGGTATGTGGATTATACAAAAGCGTGAACGCCAAGAGGTGCAGATCATGGGGGGAGGAGGGCACTGGAGCTTGTTCACTATAAGCAGTGTGGAACCCATGGTAGAAGTGAAGCAGGCCTCCCGAGAGCCTAGGCTGCAGCTGGAAAGTGGCCAGGAAACGAGGTCGCTACTTTCTCCTTTTCTCTCTATTGCTGCCTGGTCTCTCATCTCTGCTTCTCTCCGTGTGCCTCCTCTTTCTGCTGATCTGATTTTTAAGCCTCTGTGCCTATGGGCCAAAGATGACCACCCTGGCCTCCACATGGCCTTCGGGCTTCACTATGACTGACCAGCCACAAGCATCTCTGTTTCTCACTTCTGTTTTCTCAAGAGATGCTGATTGGCTCAGCCAAACCAGGGATCCAGCTGCCCCTAGGTTAGGGGACCAACCTTGTCCAATAAACCACAACCAAGAAGAAGCAGAGTCACATAAATAAACATGGCTCCAGAGGCCAACCACTGGGGGTGGAGATGCTGCTCAGGAACGGCAAAGAGTAGGCTGGGCAGATGTTCCAAAAGATGTCTGCCTCAGCTGTCTTTCCGTGGTTTCTAGAGCTAAACAAACAAAAACACCCAAACCTTCAGGGAACTTAGAAGAGTAGCAGGTTCTCTTGCTGTTCAAGCCTCAGGAGCTCAATTGTGTTCAGCTCAGGAATGGGGAGAATGCCCTTCCTCCTGAGAAGTCAGACAGGGTCCTCAGGTCACATCGAGCAGCAGACACTCCCTGTCCCCCACACTGTCCCTGTATCTTCCCCCCCGGCCCTCTCTCCAGGGCCCCCTCGGGCAGTTTCCTTCCTCCTTGAGCTCAAATACAGAAACAAAAAGCACAGAGCCTTCATGCAAATCAGCAGTGCAAATAGATGCCTAGGGACTCATAAACTCCAAGGCTTCATCAGCTAGACTCAGGCAAATCTGAATTCTCTTCGGGCTCAGAAGATCTGTTACCTCACAGAGCTGTCAGCAAGATTAAAGACGGGATGTGTGAATCTCTGAGCCTGGTGCCTGGCCTGTGATGGCTGCTCTATAAATTGAGGTGGTAGTGGTAGCAGTGAAGGAAGAAGAGGAGGAATAAAAAGAAGGGTCAGGAGAAGGAGGAAGAAAGGAGAGGATGGTGTTGGTGGTGGTCTTGATGATCATTCTTAGCCAAAGTCTGAAGACCTAACTCAGTGTTCTAACCCCTCAATACACCAAGTGTGGCCTATGTACCAGCAGCATCAACATTGCCAGAGAGCTTGCTAGAAATGCAGAATTTCAGGTCTCACCTTCCACTTACTGAATCAGAATCTGCCTTTTAACAAGACCCCCAGGTGGTTCCTCTGCACCTTAAAGTTTCAGAAGCATGGCTCTAACCCACTGGTTCTCCCACATGGCTGTTCACTGGGATTAGCCCTGGAGTTTTTAAGGCCTATGGTTGCTTGGGTCCCAGCTACAGAGATTTGATGTAATGGTGTTGGGTATGCCCTGGTTGGTGGGCTTTTCTAAAACTCTCTGGGTGATTCTTTTTTATATATATATAAATTTATTTATTTTATTTATTTACTTCTGGCTGTGTTGGGTCTCCATTGCTGCACGCGGGCTTTCTCTAGTTGTGGGGAGCGGGGGCTACTCTTCGTTGCGGTGCGCGGGCTTCTCATCGCGGTGGCTTCTCTTGTTGCAGAGCACGGGCTCTAGGCACACAGGCTTCAGTAGTTGTGGCACATGGGCTCAGTAATTGTGGCTTGCGGGCTCTAGAGCACAGGCTCAGTAGTTGTGGCACACAGGCTTCGTTGCTCCACGGCATGTGGGATCTTCCCGGACAAGGGCTTGAACCCGTATCCCCTGCATTGGCAGGAGGATTCTTAACCACTGCACCACCAGGGAAGTCCTCCCTGGGTGGTTGTAAGGTGCAGCAGAGTTTGGGAACTACTGCTCTGACCTACTGTCTCAGTTAGGATTGCACTTAGTTATGTGTAAAAACATCCCTGTTTAAAAAAAAAAAAATCCTGGATTCAGGCAGTCCAGAGCTGAGGTAATGGCTCCAGGAAGCAACCAAGGGCCTGGCTCCTTCAAGCCTCCTAATCTCCCATCTTTACTGGGACTGTTGTCCTCAGAGTCACAAGATATTTTCTGTGCCTACAGGCATCTCATCATTCCAGGCAGGAAGAAAAAGGGACGTGAGAAGGGATAAGGACAAAATGGGTGTTCAAAGGCACAGACGAAGTCTACTCTTCTTTTGCAAACTTTCTTGGAAGCTCCACCCAGCAACTTTGGCTATAACTTCATTGGCTGGAACTGTGTTACATGGTCACGCATAGCCACAAAGCATACTGGAAGGTTGAGTGTTTTAAGCTGGACATGGTGTCATCGTGAACAAGAATTGCAATTCTGTTAGGAAGAAGGAAGGGGTGAATGGCTCTCGGTCAAGTCCAGCAGGCCAGCCACACCTACCAGGACACACCCACTGGGCTCCAGTTTCTGCTTTGAGGGACCCTCCTGGCCTCCAACTGATCGATCCCCCTCTCTCAGCACCTCTGGGGAGACTTTCTACCTGTCAGAGACCAGCATCCCAGCACTGCTTTCCTGCTCCAGTCAGCACGGCTTCCACCAGTTGTGAATTACCCTCAGCCAGAGCACCTGCAGCGGATCCTCCCAAACCCTCCCAGGATCTGACACAGGGATGCTAGTGGCTGGGAGAGGCGAAGAGGCAACCTCAGTTCCGTGGGAATAGTGGTGAAAGCCTGCCTTGCCTCACTCAATCAAATGAGCTAATTTTTGTGAAAGTACTTTGTAAATTGCAAGGAATAACATGACAGAGAGATTGGAATGATGATGGTCAGAGGCTTTTGGGGGGACATGAAGGCTGAGCCCACCAGCTCTCTAATCTCCCTCGTTGCTGGGAAACAGCAAGAAGAAGACACTCCTCTCCCCAGAGTGGCCGGACGCAGGTCATGAGGCTGCTGAGGCCATATGGGCTGGCCAGTAGCCTAGAGCTCCCTGCCCCCAGCCCTTTCCCAGGCTGTTCCGCCCTTGCACCACCAAAGAAGGGGAACTGTCCAGGACTACATTTTACTCCAGCAAATTATTCTGTTTTCAGGTGGCTTGGGACCAAAGCCATGTCGCTTTGCTGCAGTCTCTGCATATGGGAGCTGGGCCAGCAGGACTCCTGGAGACAATGCGGGGCCTCAGGGAGAGGCTGCAGAGCTTCTCATCAACAGTGCAATGTCACTGCGGGGACCCACTCCCTCCAGTCCAGTGCTGGCCCCTCTGCACCTCCCCCCACCATTACCCGTGGCAGAGTTGTGCAGGGAGAGCTCAGATGAACATCTTGGGCCTTAGCCTCCGGCCCCTGTGGCTGATCAACATTCAGCCAGGGGAGAGCCCCCTGCTTAACGGGTTAGGTGCTTAGTTGTACCTTCCACATCCATACCCTTCCTTGGGAAACAGAGACAAAAGTCTAGGCTCTACCACAGAAGGATCCTATGACATCAGCAAATGCACTCCTCCACTCTGGGCCCAGCTAAAAATTGGACATTTTAGAGTTATGAGTGATTGAGAGCATAGACTGACCATAGAGTCAGACTTCCTGGGTTTCCTCTTGTTTCCATCGCTTACCAATGTGTGACCTTGGGTGGTTCATTCATTCACTCACTCAACAAATATTCATTGAGCACCTGCTCTGTTCCAGGCACTATTCTAGGAGTCAGGAATACAGTAGTGACCAAAAGATAAAACTTTCTGCCCTCGTGGAATTTATGTTCTGGTGGAGGGAAATAAACAAGCTGACAAGTGAAACGTATAGTGTGTTAGGTAGTCTTCGGTGTTGGGAGAAAATGAAGCAGAGAAAGGGACAGGAAGTGTAATTTTAGACAGGTTCTGAGCAGTGCCCTGGGGGAAGCTGGCATTTGAATAAAGACCCAAAGGAACTCTGGGGTGAGTGTGTTCCAGGAAGGGGGAACCACAGTGCAAAGGTCCTGAGGCAGGAGCGTGCCTGGCCCGATGGAGGAATGGCAAAGAGGCAGAGTGAGGGCAGGGTGGACCTCGGGGATCACTGTTGGGACCGGGCTGTCCTCTGGCTGAGATGGGAGGCTGTGAAGGATGAACAGGACCACTCTGGCTGCTGAGTGGAGAAGAGACTGAAGGGGGCAGACTGAGAACAGGGGAACTGGTCAGGAGGCTGCTGCGGGGTCTTAGAGAGCTGGGATGGTGGCTGGACCAGGGTGGAGGCAGTGCAGTGAGGAGGAGACCTCAGGCTGGGTTTACTGCCTCTGGGGCTAGAGCTGGGAGGGGAGAAGACAGTCAAGGATGACTCCAACCTGACTGGCCAAGAGACTGGAAGGGTAGAGTTACCCATTCGCCAAGGGGCAGCTCTGAGTGCTGCAGGTTAGGGGCCAGGGCGGACGGGGGCGTATCAGGAGTTGGGTTTGGACAGGTTGAGTTTAAGAGAACCGTTAGTCCTCCAGGTAGAGAGGGCAGGAACGCAGGTGGATATATGAGCCTGGAGTTCAGGGAGAAGCCCAGGCTGGAGACACAAATTTGGGATTCATCAGCGTATGGATGAGGTAACAGGCTGAAATGAGATTAAGGAAGTAAACATGGTTATTTAATCTCTGTGTGTCTCAGTTTCTGCATCTGTGTTATGAGAATTAAATGCAGTGAAATACAAAGCACTTAGACCATAGCCTGGCACCTCTGTTTGTCATGGTGGTAATCATTGTACCTGCCTAAGTTGACTGCATTTACTACATGGCTGGTGAGCGGTTCAGGGACTGTGTTGGGTGTCCCAGGGGAGGGCTGTCAAGAATGTCAGTACAATTGTCTCATCCTGGCATTCAAGGCCCTTTGCAGTTTGGCTCACCTTCCAGACAACCCCTGACCTTCTCCCAAGCCTCCACTCCCCTCAAAACTAACTGATCACCTGGCGTTGTTCCTTCTCTGCCACTGTCCCCAGCGACCCTGACCCTGACACCTCCTCCAATTGCCATCTTTACAGTCCCAAGCCATTTAGTGCTTCTCTGATGCCTCTTCTTCCAAGAAGTCTTCCTCATTCACACCCCCAACCCCAACCAGACAAGAACACGCCCATCTGGAAACGCTTGGGGTCCTTGGGACGCCTGTTCCTCTCTTCCTGGAGCCAAGCCACTCGGGCACCTGACAGTCTCCCCTGCACCCCAACCCAGCCTGGGAGCTCCTTGTCGGCAGGACCCAGCCTGGTGCATCTCTGTGCCTGATGCAGGGTGACAGGAGCAGGGACTTGTGCCCAGGTCCTCTGGCTCCAAAGCCAGGCTGCTTCCTACTCCTCCTTGCTGCCCAACTCCTAGCCACCAAAAGATATACTGACCTGTAAGTTCCAGGGTTGGACTTTCCACAGCATGATGGTAGATGTGGGACCCGGGGACCAGCCTAGCCAGGTCTGAATGCCAGCCCTTTCACTTCCTGGCTGTGTGGACAAACCAGAAAACCCTCTGTGCCTCAGTTTCCCTTTGGTAAAGTGAGACTCATAAAAAGTTAATTGTGACGATTCAGTGAGTTAAAACAGGTGAAGATCTCAGGAAAAGTCTGAGCAGGTAGTACAGACCCAACCAATGCCTATTATTATTAATTATTATTAAGCACCACCTTTGCCTGCAGCCTGCCCTGCCGTTGCTGAGCCCCACCCCTTAGGCCAGCCCAGGTCTCCCTGAGTCCCAGGTTCTAGGTCCACCTGGTATAGTTGGGCTCTGCGGGGCCTCCCAGGGGCTGGTGGGAGTCTGTAGGTCCTGGCTGGTGCCGTGGCCCCAGGACTCTTGGAGGCCGAGGAAGCCCCTTTCCTCTCACCCTTCCTCTCAGGCCCCGCCTCCTCCTTGCAGATTTTAATGAGAATGGCTTCATCGACGAGGAGGACCTGCAGAGGATCATCCTTCAACTGCTCAACAGAGACGACGTGTCAGAGGACCTGCTGACCGACCTCACCAGCCACGTGTGTGCCCTGGGCTGCGGGACGGTGGCTGGCGTGGGCCCCGCTATCACCTGAAGCCTCTTGATGGCAGGCAGGGTGAGGGGCACTGAGGGATGGGTGCTCACTGGAAGCAACTACTCCCAATTTTCTGTCCTTCCTCCAGGATCATGACTCCCTTCCTGGGTCTCCAGATCAGTAGCCCACCCCAAGGGGCCCTCCCAGCAACACTGCAGCCACTGCAGGCAGGTGGGCCAACAGCAGGTCAGCCTCAGGTGCACACTTCACAACATCCCCTCTCCTACATTATTCCAGCACAATGCCCAGGTGTCCTAGAGTGACAGTCCAAAGTACGGCAGGACATGAAGACAACCATGGACCCATTTGTCCTAAGACCATGAGAACATTTTGGTCTGGATGGGAAGTAGGAGCAGATAAAACCATGAGGGCTCATCGCTGCCTCCCCACCCTGACTGAGCCCCTTGCAGTGCAGAGCCCCTGCCTGTGACTGGGTGACAACAGTGGGTGGGGGATGTCACCCTGTCCATCACCCCACACCCATTCTCACTGCCAAGTTTGTCCTAGAGGCACCGAGAGGACTCTTCCCGTGATGAGACAGCCCACATGGTCCCAGACAGCCACGCACATGACCTCATCTCTCTGCACCTCCGTGTCCTTGTCTGGGGCAGGGATAGAGCACCTGCCTCCCAGGGGACTCCAGGGACTCTAAGCACCCAGCAAGAGCTTGGCTTATGGTAGCACTCAGCGTGTGGTGCTCGCCCCCCACGCCTGCGCCCCCATCTCCCTTTCTGATTCTCTGGCTGCTTCTGCACCCCTGTCCAGGTCCTGAATGAGTCAGATCTGGACAATGACAACATGCTGTCTTTCTCAGAGTTTGAACACGCGATGGCCAAATCTCCGGACTTCATGAAGTAAGGTGTTCTGGAGTGAGGGGGGATGCCCAGCATAGTGGGGGACAAGAAGCCCCCCCCACCAGTCTTCCTCGGCCAATGGGACACCTTGGTCTTCCCAGTGAGGTCATGAGTTTCCAGGGCAATTCGCAGATTCTTTCAGCATCAGCAAAACTGGAGCTTCTGAGAAATGAGGTAACCTGGAAAGAGACAGGGAGTGGGGTTTCAAAAGGCAAAGGCGGGATTGCATTCCAGGCTTTGCAAACGACGTGGGTGGTCCAGACTTCAGGCGCGGTCCCTCTACAGCCAACACAAAGCCCGCTAGGCTCCAGGACTGACCTGGGGAGTTGCCCTTGCCGCTGTTGGTCCTGCTGCCGTGCCGCCACAACCTCCCGTGGTCACTGGGAGCTGGGGATTGGCATGGAAATGTCGGGGGGGAGCGGCAGGGATGAAGATGCTGGTGATGGAGCTCAGAGAAGAGCTCAAGCATTTCCATCAGGCAGAAGGGGGCCTTAATGGTCGTTAGCTGTCCAAACTCCTTTGAGACAATTGGCCATCTCCATACTGGCTGTATTTAACAGTCTTATTTGGGTCCTTCCAGTTGTGGGAAACATACCACCGCTGAAGGCAGCCCGTTTCATGAGGAACAGCCCTTTTAGGGCAATCTTCTCGCACTGAGCTGCATCTGTTTGCCTGTGTCTGCCACTCCTGGGCCCTATTCTGCCCTTGGTCTTCAGTCTAGGTGATTTTGGTAGCAAGGAAGGATGCCCACTCAAAATGGTTTAACAAACCACTCAAAAAAGAATGAAAACAGATAGACCCCAGAGAGCAGCTGGTCGGGGGCAGAGCCTCTGCCTCAGTCCTCAGCAGCTCTGCGCTTTGCTTTATGTGCAGCCAGCAATCTCTGCTTTGTCAGACGTGAGGCCAAACGTGGCCTCCACAGCGGTCAAGTTTATATCTATTTGGCTCAGTGAATGTCCCTCAGCTCTGGCTCCAAATTCTCAGAGAATCTGATTGGCCAGCTCCAGGCAGGTGTCCAGACCTCTTCCAACTGCCTGGCCGGAGCAGAGGGCCCTCCATTTCAACATGGTTGCCAGAGGGCTTAGCCTGGGCAGACTCTCTAAAAGAGGATCCACACTTGGACCATCCCCCCCCCAACCGAGGTAATTCCTCTTCCTCCATAACAGCCCAGCACATGACTGGAGCTGGAATCCTGTCTGCCTTGAGTTTTTTCTTTGAATCTCTCCCGTTTCTTTCCACTGGTTCCAGCACCACAAGGTTCGGACAGCCTTTGCATTCTAGAGCTGCTCAAAGGAGGCTTTGAGTTGGCTTGGGAGAGCTGCTAACTGGCCATCACTCAGAGAAAGGAACACAAGAGGTGTGAACCCAGAAATCAGAGGGGGCTTTACAACTGCAGGCTCGAGGTGGCTAATGGAATTCTTTCTTTCAGCTCCTTTCGGATTCACTTCTGGGGGTGCTGATGTGGCCCCAAATACCTGCTCTGGCGGCCTTGAGGGGGACCCCTGGAACTAGGAATTCAACCCCCTGCGGGCGGGGCGCTGGGGGAAATCTGATTAGAAGAATGACTTTGTCCCCATCCCTCCCTCACTTCTAGAATATTGTTTATTCAATAAAGCAGAAGAAAAGCCTTTCCCTTTTTCCATCAGTTCATCATTTTTTGAGTGCAGGGTCATATAGAAGTACTTTTTATTAAGAACTGTTCATTCTAGGGCTTAAGTTCGCCAGTGATGCCAAGACTGGGATGGCCAGTCCTTTTGAGGTCAATACATGTCACAGCAGGGACCAGGCCAAATGGGATGAAATTCACCAGGAAAATACACGTCCTGCCCTCCCTTCCCTGGAGCCTCCCTCGGCACCCCTGCACCCTCGGGACGCGACAGTGTGTGACCAGCGATCAGGGTTTATTTGCTTTGCCATTCAGCCAAGCCCTGGAATGAATTCGGCCACCACAGGGGCTCTTTGGGGCCCAGCTGGTCTGGCACTCAGGAGAGGCCCCTTAGGGGGTCTCTGAAAGCTGTCAGATGCCTACCTGATGGGCACATGTTTTTTCTTGTTTACACTGTCCTCAGAGGAGGAGGTGTCTAAATGCTGGCTCACAGGGGAAGGTCTATTTCACCCTCCGTGTACTTGAACCTCCTGTGGTTGCCTGGCCTTTAGGGGAAATAAGAGCCCTTTCTTGATGGAGTCCCTTGATCAAATCCAGGAGGTGCTGGAATGTTGGAGAATTCCTATGGTGTGGGTACACACCTGACCCAAGGTTCCCATTCTAGATCCTGTCTCCAGAGGGGCTGTCCCCTGCATCCTGTGCCCTGTCCCACAGACAGGAGGCCTCCCAGGAGGTAGTAAGCAGCGGCCTCCAGAGCCCGAACCTCCCAGGCCACGTCCAGATGTGACCTAGGAACCCGTGTCCACTCTGGCGTAAAGGTCCCTGATGCACAGCGATGCCTTGAAGAGTGTCTTAGTCTCGGGTCCCTTACCTCCTGTCCCCTTCTAGAAACAGTCCCGGGGTAGGTCCCAAATCAGACTGTCCCTGCCAGTCTGGGAAGAATGCAGAAAGTGGTTTCTTCTCTCAGGCACCACAGGGCCCTCCGGGATCTGCGTCATCCCCACCCCACATGGACCACAAGCAGAGCTTGGGAGTCAGAAAGGCGTAGGTTCGAATCCTGTCTGTGCCACTTCTCAGCTGCATGAGTTTGGACAGTTCTTTCCACCTCTGAGCCTTGGTGCCTTTATCAGTAAAGCGGGGCAACACCCCCTCTCTCACAGGCTATTGTGTGAATGAAATGCTGCTGAGCCGAGGCTCAAGTGGGAATTCTTTTGCATCTGACACCAGCACAAGCATTCCAGGGCCACTGCACCCTCATTCTCAGACATGGCATAATGGGACTTCCTTGATTATCCCATTGGAAGCAGATGGGAGGTATCTCTGTGCCTGAGTGACCTGCCACCAAGACTCAGGAGCCCTACAGGCCTCAGGGGAGAGGTGTGTGGGTCCAGCAGGGTGCTGACACCGCCTTTTCTTGGCTCTAACACCTGGGGTGAGCATTCCACAGGCCCCTCAGACACCGTGCTGTGTGACCCTCAGTGCTGTCCTGCTGTGGCCAAGTGGTCCTGGGGCTCAGAGGAGAGGAGCGTGGGATGGTCACGAATAAAGATTTTATCCCAAAAAGCCAACCTGGTGATGCCGTGGCTCTCAGGCATCGGGCTCTGCACTCAAGGTAGCAGTCCCGCATCTGCCGTTCCTGTGGGGAGACCCTCTTCCCCAACGGGGATGTCTGGTAGGTTCTCAGGGGATACTCTTTTTTTTTTTTTTTTTTTTTTTTCGGTACGCGGGCCTCTCACTGCTGTGGCCTCTCCTGTTGCGGAGCACAGGCTCCGGACGCGCAGGCTCAGCGGCCATGGCTCACGGGCCCAGCCGCTCCGCGGCATGTGGGATCTCCCCAGACCGGGGCACGAACCCGCGTCCCCTACATCGGCAGGCGGACTCTCAACCACTGCGCCACCAGGGAAGCCCAGGGAATACCCTTAAAAGGTGCCACTTCTTCTTCAGCCCCAGAGGAGGCCTGGGGGTGAGGATGGAGCTAGTGTTATGCAGTGAACCAGGTAGGGAGGGTGAAAAAGGCCCACTTCCCAGCCCGTGCTGCCAACGACCCTGCCGGCTGCTCGTCAGCTTGACACTCGAGGTCAGAATGACTTGTGTTTACACAGCGGTACAGTGGTTAAGAGCAAGGACATGGGTGTCAAGAAGCTGGGATGGATTCTGGCCCAATTCCTGCCAGAAGTGTACACATGTAAAAATGGACTAATGTCGGTACCTCCCTCCTAGCTCTGTTCTGAGGAGCAGATGAAGTAATGCGTACAAAGCACTTAACATGATGCTGAACAAGGAGCAAACACTCAACAAGTGTTACAAGAAATGTGCTGCTGCTACTGGCGATGATGGTGATGGTGGCGGTGACAGTGGTGATGGTGGTGGTGACAAAGGTGATGGTGGCGGTGACAGTGACGGCAGTGGACCTCAGGGAAGGACAGGGGACTTTCCCCAGGCCACAGAGATGATCGGGGTAAAGCCTGAGTGCAGACACCGACCCTCTTACTCCCAACCACCTAGCTGGTCCCCTGTGTTAGATGTGAAGCTGCCAGGTAGTTTGGAGAAGGAACAGAGCTGGGCGTCCTGGGGTCCCACAGCTGCAGGAGAAGCAGATCCTGCCCGGAGAGGTCTCAAGGGGAGACTTGTCCCCAGACAAGGCCCTGCACTGTCTCCAGGGATGGACTGACTCAGAGCCACCCCAAGGGTGGAGATGGCCAACCTAGAATCCTAGAGTTGGCGTTGGGTGATCCGGGTTCCCTCCAGTTCTGCCTTCAACCAGACTCGCCATGGCACAAGTTCCCGAGGCCATTGTGGAGTCTCAGTTTCCATATTTAGAAAATGCGCCCATCTGTCCTGTACAGAAGAACCTATAGAGGATGTTAAATTGTATCTTTAAAAACCATTAAACTCTATGGAAAGGGTTGCTGCCTTATCAAAAACAATGGCAAGGCTCAGGGCTCTTGAGGCAAGCGATGGGTCAGCACGGAGTTGGAAACCCAAGATCTGCCCACTGACCTCCCGATGGCCCCTACTCCACAGGACACCTCACAGCATAGACTTCTGATCTCCCTGCCTGAGCGGCAGGAGGGGGAGTGAGGAAGCCACATGCCCGATTATCTCACAGGGCAGAGCTGGCCTTCCCCGGGAGAAGAAGCTCTCCCGGATAAAAGCAGCAAAGGGTGGACAGGGAGGAACTTTCACATTTGTTAGAGGGACGGTTGGACTTTGAAAAATGTGTTCACGTCCCTAAAAGAACATTTTCTGAGTCTGGGCTGGGGCTGGGGAGACAGCCCTGCTTTGTGTAGTACCCTCTGGGTCCACCAGAGGGCAGACGCTCCTTGCTGCACCGAGGGGCTGTGCTGGCGTTTGGACGAGTGTAGCTGCAAGGCTGCCATTGCAGGGGGAGAAGCCTGCAGACTCAGGCCAGCAAGGATTATGGGGTTTGCTCCCAAACTCCCAGGGCAACTGAAAATGCTCTTCCTGATTCCGCCCATTCAGGTTCCTGGCATCCCTCCTGAGGCTGCTGAAACCTTGACCCCCTCGCTCTGTAACTGTCACCCTGTGTATTGTGGGGTAAAGTCTTAACTCATCACCCTCTGTGACTAAGGGGGCTAGTGGGAGGGACAAGAGCAGGGCGAGCAAAGACGCTTGGGACACAGAGAGCACAGCAGACACGGCTCAAGACCCCTGGTTAACTGAGACTCACACAGAGAGAACCAAGACTTGTTTGGGGAAATGGAGGGGAGAGGAGGGGCGAGTTGGTGACATCAGAGAGCATGGGAATCAGACTTCGGGCAAATAAGAGATCAAAGCTCCCCAGTCAGCACAGCCTCCCCTGGGCTCCCCGCCCTCTGAAACCTGGACCTGCCCCCATGTCGCCACTGAGGTCACTCTTGCCGAGGTCACCAGTGGCCCTCCTGCAGCGCTGGACACTGTGGACCGCTCTCTTCTTGAAATATCACTCGTGGTTTCTATTACTCTGCTCTCTTGTTCACTGTTGGTTTTCACCAACACCTCTGTCCTTTCCTTCTCAGTCTCCTTCTCATCATGTTCCCTCTCTGCCCACTTCCTCTGGAGTCTGTCCAGGGCCCACCCAGTCTTCCTGGTGATGGCCTCCATGCCGTGGCTTAACCTTCACCTGTGTGTGCAGGACCCCTGGTCTCCAGCTCCAGCTCAGAAGTTCCCTCCAAGTTTCAGACTCCTGTGTACGGTTGCATGCATCTCCCTGGGATGTCCCCCAGGCCTCACCTCCCACCTCCACCTTCCCCAACAGTCTAGTCCCACCTCCGTGAAGAGCACTCCACGACGTCCAAGACAGAACGGGCATCCATCTCCCCCAGCTTCATCCCTCACATCCGATCAGCCACCAAGCCCTGCAGCTGCATCCCCGCCACCTGAGCTCAAGCTGCATCGCCTTTCACCCGGACGGCGGCAGCAGCCTCCTCCCTGCTCTCCTACCTGTACTCATACCTCCAGCCCATTTTCCACACTTCAGCCAGACTGAACTTTCTGAAGTCAGCTCCTTAGCGTGGCAGGCAAGGCTGTCAGTGACCTGACCCTTGCCTCTGTCTCTGCCTCGTCAGTTACCCTACAGCCCTGTTGTAAACAGCCATTGCGGTTCCTGTGTGTAATTGCTCTTCCTGCCTTCCACCCCGCCTTTCCCCCCCACTCTCCCCACTGGCATCTTGCCCTGTGCCTTCTGCCATCAGGAATGACAAACCTGTCCACCACCACCCCGTCCCCTGCTCCGTGCCTCCCGGTACTAAAAGGCCCTTTAAGACTTGCCTAAATGTCACTTCTTTGAAGAAGCCTTTCCTTGCCACCTCTCCTAAGTCTAGGTGGGTCCCACTCTCTGTTCTCTCTGTGCCCTAAACCCCTTCCACCAGCTGCATCTCACCCTGTCCTGCTACTGTCCGCTTACATCTTGTCTCCCTGCTAGACGGGGAGCTTCTCAAGGGCAGAGTTTGATCACATCTTACTCACGTTTGATCCCCAGTTCTCCGAACCAGGTCAGACACGTGGTCTGTGGGCAGGAAATGTCTATTAAACAAATGACAAGGTCGGTAGCTGACATGCCAACAGTACCAGTGACGTTACGGTGGGACCTACAGACACAGACACTGAAAGCCAGTGGCCATGCTCCAGGGCCCTCCAGTGCATCTCCTGAGACCACCCCACTGCAATGCTTGACGTCTTACTTCCTCTTGGTTGAGCTCCCTCCCCGACATGAAAACATTCCCAGGGAAGCCCCGGAAAGTGCAGGGAGCTGGCCAGGCCACTGCCAGTCGAGGGCTTCTCCATTTCAGGAACTCTTCCTGCACCAGAGCCCAAAGCACCGTGAGGCCTTTGAAGATGTGCTTCAGTGTTACCTCTGAGGTCTGCCCTGGGCCTCAGCCTCCTCACAGGTAGAATGGGTGTTGGCCTAGAGTTAGAAAGAAATGCATGATTTCGTCTTTGGATGAAAGGCAAGAAAGTTAAGCACCGTGGTTACTGATGCACCTTCCAATGGCTTTGCACTGTAGGCAGAACAGAAGGAGTCCTGCCCCGGTTCCTGGTCCTACCCTCCCTCCGCAGCTCTACCTCCCTGCGATCCTACAGCGTTCGAGGCTAGCCCGGGGCCAGAGCAGTGAGTGACGGGGCTGCAGAGTGGGCAGCAGAGGGGAGAGACCCTCCACTGGGCTCAGGCCTTTCTCCAGCCTCACCTCTCTTGTCCCTTGCCTTCTTTCTACCCTGGGTGCCTTGACCATGGTGGTCCTAACCCTCTCCCTCCTGCCTCAGTGACCCTTCCTGTTGGCCCCTCCTGAGTTCCTTGCTGGCGGCCACGTCTCCTATCCTCGAAAGATGGTGGGGTTGGTGAGTGCCTGTGAGCCTGTGGGGTCGCCTTGGCCACTTTCAGGACGGAGTCCTCCTCTTTGCCATGGCCTTCCCCCTCCTGGGCTGCAGCGCCCTGTCCTGCCTCACCAAGGCCTCACTCCCCCATCTGTCCGTCCCTGTCTCTCGGCCTCTGTCCCCCCTCCCAGCCATCTGGGATCTCTCCTGCTCCCCTAGTGTTTTCTCCTCTGCCCACAGACATTCAAAGCTTTTTCTAGATTGCAAAATTCCACACTTGGCCTTGCTGCTTTCTACAACCCTTTCTCTTCCTTTATTTCCAAATTTCTCCAAGGAATCCTCTTTACTACTTTCTGCCTTCATTTCTTCTACTCCTATGCTTTCCTCCTGACCCATCACTTGAATGTGTGCTTGTGCTTTTTCATGAAGGTCATATAAGATCATCCAGTCGCCACATCCAACATCCTAGGCCCCCACTCCCTCTCTGCAACATTCGTACTGATGAAGAAACTCATTTGGAAGAAGCATCACCTAAGATAAAGAGGCAGAGCCCCTGAAAGATCTTTGTGCTGTGTGTGAAATGTCATAAAAAGAACAGTGCCATCATCTAGAAGTCAAAGACAAGCGGTTGGGAGGTGCTTCCTCCTTCATGGCGATGAGTCTCTCCGTGTGGAGGGAACTGTCCACCAGCCGTCTCCAGCCCCCACTTGCTCTTCCACATTAGAAGTGGAGGAACATCTACCTGGGGGGGTGAAGCCCACTCTCCCTCCCTCTTTTGCTTGGAAGCAAGGAAGCCCACCCTGCTCCTCCATGCCCTTTGGGGGACCCACTCTGCCCTTCAGGAGGAAAGCCTGTCCCAGCCCAGCCTGGCCATCTCATCCAGGCTCAGCGTCAGCCCCACTCTCCAACGCCAGCTTCCCCTCTTTTATCTTTTCTTTCCCAAGTGGTTCAGAACGCAGGGGATGAAAGAGGTGCTGGTCACCAGCTGTTGCCAAACTCCAACACAGAGAAAATGAAGCAACAGAATGAAAACTAAAGAAACAACCGTCTACAGCACTCTGCAGAGAAAAGAGCATGACCCGAGAATATCGAACTGGCCAGTCACCCAGGTATAAAGGCAGCTTCATGAAAGAACTCAGGAAA